TTCTGGTCATAAAAACGTACACATTATTATCTAACTTTACAGTTATTTTCAGTATCTCCTGCAAATAGGGACTTTTTTTTTAATAAAGACACAAAATTGGATAGATGTCGTAAGAGAGGGATGACTGCAGGTTCCCAGTGAACAAACTGGAGAGTCGCTAATTCAAGAGACAAAAGGGGCTGAGAACCAGATTCCAAATAAATGCCCAGGCTTTTCCGCATAGGTTCACGCCTGTCTTCAGATTCCCTAGAATAACTGTTATGCTCCAGGATTTGCACTGGTTTCATTTCATCCAAAGAATAAAAACAGAATAAAGGCCACAAATTTGCATAATTATGACATCTCTTTCGATCAAAAAAAATGCTTTTTTTTTTTTTTTTTGGCCAAAATGTGAACATTTCATCAGGATACAGTGAGGCTTAAATTAAAAATGTAAAAAACCATTGCAGCTATACAGTAAAGATAGACTAGCTACCATTATATCAATATTTAATTTTTCTTGGATGTCTTCTTTTTCTAAAGACATTGGTTAAGTCTTACACTGTGCCAAGTAAGAGCTAGATTTTCTGTTCACTTCAGATCCTAGCTAACTGCTTATGCTCCCATTTTTCTTTAAATTAATTAGCCTGTTCTGTATTCCAAAATAAAGATGCATCCCTTCCCTTGGCTGCCTCATAAATGCAGTCCAAAACCTTTACTTAGATAAAATGTGCAATGCAGCAACCTCCCTCCTTCAGTATGCATATTCTCAAGTGGACATTATGTTTTCAGAAAAAATGTGAAACATGAACTCCAAGCTTTGTAAAAAAATGTATCAAATGTGTTCACAGACATTTTCTGTGCAAGGGAGAGCTCATCTGCAACAAAATATTTAAACAGAGCAACAGATGCCAAGAAACACTGTGGTGTTACAAGCAGCCAAGTACATTCTCCCTCAACCTTTTTTCCTTCATTGTGACATTTTGGAGGTACTCGTACATTTCTATATTCCTGGAAGTATTCATTCCTGACCTATCTTCCAATGTTCCTGCAAGAATCCTCACTTAAATATAAGTCACGTATATAAGTCAGTCAGTAAAGCTTCAGCTTTCACTACACCACATAAATGCAATAAATACATTATTCTGTGCGATGGTAAGGAGACATTTTTATTTCATATTTTGTATCTTTTGACAAGACTGCTGAGGTTTCCAACAAGGTCAATAAATTTGAGAAATTGCAGTGAATCTCCAGCAGCATTTGTAAGATACTCAGACTTTCTCACTGAAATGTCTTCAAATACAGGAAACAACAAGCTTCAACCCTAATGAAAACAAATATTCTTGATAGGCCCAAAGCCTTTTCTGCAGGAGTGTTGTAAGTCTGGGTCCTACAACTTCAGTTGTGCCAAAATTTACATTTACAAAGCTCAAGACCCATGTAAATGTGTCCAGAGAGTTGCGTAAAACAAATTCAGTGATACTGGTAACATAAATAAGGAAATTCACTGAAAATATATGAACTTAGTATGTTCCTTTAATACAAAGAGATAATTCCACAAAGTAATCAGGGCTTGTAGAAGTCAAATGGTCATGAATATTGCTAAAACACAAAAGTCCTTATCAGGTGACAAACAAAGGAATTTCCTACTGTGGAAAAGGGCAGAGTTTCTTACAATACTTTCATTACCAACATTCAGGAAAACTGTATTCAAAATTCAAGAAGTCTCAAAGACAGAAACTTTAACAAAATTAAGATCTAATGGGAAAGCTTTCAAAAGAAATATACATTGGTGTCACTTCAGAAATTTACTATGTGCTCTGTCTTTTGTGTAATGTAGTCTTCTTGTGTGCCTGCCATGAACCAAGGACATCAGAAAGTATGTGACAGTTTGTTGCTCATCACTGACTGTCAGTTTGTGCTACTGTAAAACCCCAAAGTACTTCCAAGCTCATGGATGCTCTAGCTTCTGCTTTGAGGAAAGTCCCGTCTTTCAGATGTGTGATCTGCAGACAACACAGAAGTGTCTACTACACAACTTGCCAATGAATGTGAGGGCTGAGGACCGCAGTACTCTACGCAAACTTCCAACAGTTGCAAAGGAGTGGGATAACATTGATCTGTGTAAGCCACTATCTACATCATGCTCTCTAACCAGATGATGAGTTGGGCCTGGAAATTTAGCTGAAATCTCAATCCTTTATCAGGAAAAGTAAGAAGTATATGAGACAAAAATGTTCCTGTAAGCTCATGCAAAAAGTTATTTTACATTAGATCTTATTGTGAGGTTTGCTGACTCCATTGGGGAGGGCATGGGTCTTTAAAAGATCTTTTCCTCTACTTCTGTAGTGAAGGCACACAAATGAATGACTGCTAATAATGAGAAGGAAGACTTCCTAACCAGGTATTTGTGTCATGGCCCTGTCCTTCCCCTTCAGCAAACCCCATAAAATTTATGTAGAAGAAACCCATAGGAGCTGAATCCAGAGAGCAAGTTCATAACTTCAAATGTTTGAAATGACGGTGGAAGCACTGCAAAATTTTACTTCGTAAAAGAAAGTGCATAGCATGTATGATAATTTGGAGGCTCCAGTTCTCTCCCTTCAACTCAGTTTGTTAATTGTTTTATATTTTATACAGTTGTTAATTTCCAAACAAGTTCTTATGTGCAACTTTAAACTTCCGTTTCTGTGCTAAAATTTTCTGTTTGTTTGTTTGTTTGGTTGGTTGGTTGATTTCTTTCCCAAGGCACAAAACCACTGTTGAATGAAGTTTTGATCCCTATTTTTGTTAAACTCCGGCAATCCCATACCTGAATTTATCCAAGTTTCTAACACAATTTTACACTTTTGGTGTCTTTTAGCTCCTTAAAATATACAATTTCCCAAAATCCTCATATCCATAGATTTCCAAATATCAGGTCTAATTCAATGCCTTCTGAGTCCCAAGAGATGCTGATGCCTGTTAGCAGTAGCACAGACAAGGCACCCTATACATAGTAATTTATATATTTGAAGTTCTTATATAAAGCATCCAGAACACGTTGAGCAAACACCCCAACATCATCAATGTTGAAAGACGTAAAAGGAATGAAGTCAACATGGGTGGCAGAATAGAAAGAATTACTGGACAGCTTGTAGTGGATGTTGTGGACAGGGGACACAGACAAAGGTCACAGGTTTACAAGTTCACAAGTTCTTTCCATATTGGTGCTTACAGATGTTGCCTAGAAACATATGCAGATCGTCTTTCCCATGTAGCAATATTTCAAGCAAAGGCTGATTACAAAGGTATCAGAGTAGCCCATGATGAACTTAGCCACTGCACTGGAAGACTGTGGGGAGACTAAATTTGGGAGTAAACGTAGTCTTTGACTGTAATCCATACTGACATTAGTGTAGAGATTAACCTAGAAGTAGAGTGAGTCCTTGAGTCCTTTTTTTAAATTATTTCAGTAATGAGTGTTCTCTCAGCAGATGAATCAAAATTCTTTGGTACAACTGCAGACAATGTATGTAAGTAACATACAAGACAGTTGAATGCTTTGTATATTTGTTTCAGTGACACAACATGATACAGCATGCTGGACTGTAGCTTTCTAATTGATTGGATAGCCTATTCCATGCTGATTTTTCATTAGAAAAAAATATTTTATGAGGCTTCCATAGGTTTTAATAATACAGGACTCAAATCTAGGTCAGTAAAGCTTCAGTGAAGTTGAGGGAATTGCCTCAAAAATGCAACCAGTTTGCTATTTTGCTATTGAGCTTTGTGGAGTTTCCTAGCCCCTGAAGTGGAATGGCAGCGTACTGGGCGACACGGCCAAATGAAATTAATTTAGAGGTGTTTATATACAGGCAGTGCAGCACACCATTTGAGGTTCAATTACTGCTTTTAAGAAATAAAAAATCCCTACAACTACTAAAGACCTCCTTTTGGAAACCTGAGAGGAAATGATTGAAACAGGAGTGTGACCCAGTCTTACAACAGTGAGTACAAAAAATGAACCATACTCAAAATGATTTATTCAATGCTAATAAATACCTTCAGATACTCCTCCCACCAAGGACTGGTTTTTATGTAAGCAGAAATGTAATCCAGACCTGCATGTTAAAAGCCATTGCAAACATATGCAGATACAAGCACAGGGGAAAAGTAAACCATATAAAATTAAAAACGTAAATAGAAAGCCTCCACTGTGAAAATAAAATCTTAAAATTGGTGCTAAATGTAAGCAAAGAATGTTTTGGAAGGTAGTGACAACTTGTTTGCCTATCTGTGCCTGACAGTTAGTAGAGGCTCAAGATCCGTCTGAGAAATTAAATTTTAAAACATATCCTGAACTTTAGAAAAGGATGAGATTCTCTTTGCAAACAAATCACGCCCACAGATCTGAAAGGAGTTTACAGCATATAACAGAACTTGCAGTGTAAAGAGGAAAAACCTATATGGAACGCAGAAAAGGATGAAAAGAAGAAAAGCATTTCATTGGGGATTAATTCCTTATATGGCTCTGTGCAGACATTGGTTCTGTGATACAACAAAGCAGAATAAAATGAACAGAATGAAACAGAGAGCTTGCAAGAGAAAAGCGTGTCTAGAGGCATAGGTAAAACTCTAGAAGAGGCTCTGAAGAAGGAGGACATACAATATGAATAGCAGACATGTGGAATGACTAGTACCCAAATGCAGAAGAGAAAGAAAAACAGAACAAATGTGTCTTATTTTAGATCAACTGGCACACCAGTTTGCTATGTCTGAGGTTGCCAGCCTCTCAGAGTAGGCACAATGGAGCCCTTATTCTGCATGCAGCTTTGTGGCATTACACTAATTAGAGCACCTCCTTTTTAAAAATTAGTTTCTGAGTTCTGAGGACAATTTGATGTGATTATGACTGGCAATGTGCTGTCAGTTTGATGTCTTTTGTCCCAGTGTCCCATGGCTGGATAACTTGATGCATAACTGTAATCTATACTCTAAACCCCGTTTAATCTAAAAAAATCTTAAAGCACTTGACTTACCTATGAGAGCAGAGCTCCCTGGACTGACAGTCATTTTTGTTCCTGAAGGAGAGGTCAGCACTGAATGAACGCTGGTCCCAACACTGGAAAGCACTGCTGACAAGTCTTCTAGGTAAGGAAGAGGTCGTGGAGGCTCTGGTAACAGATTGGGAGACTGAAGTGATAAGCAACACCATAGCAGAAAACAGCTCAGGGACATAAAAAAGTCCACCACCAGCTATTGCTGCATTATTTGCCGTGCTGCAATATTACCATTCCAGAGGGGCAGTGTAAGCATCTTCAGGCAACTACTCAGGGTGTACTTTGCCTTGTGTTAGGTAAGGCACTAGAGAAATTATTCAAATTACATCTGGATCAGTATGACCACAAAATAAAAGAAATTGTGTCTGAAGGCTGCAATGGCATTCTGGTTGACCCTCTTCATGTGTAACAAACGTATGTGGTGTGAGGAGGTACATCAGCTTGGATAAAAGAGCAAATTTATACAGAACAGAAACTGAATCAAAAGTCCACTGCAGTCAGTGGAAAACTTTTCAGTGTCTGCTACAACCTGGATCAAGCCCTGATAAAATATGATTATAACCCTGCCAAATCCTGTGGTACACTTAGGCAGAGCTCCAAAGGACTAAGAGTTCAGATCTTAAGAAGGTCAGCCTATGCTGAGAACTGCAGGATTTAGTTCTTTACCAACCATAACGCTATTTTAAAAATCAGCTGTGTTGCCTATTATTCCCAATTCTGTTTGTCATGGAAATGATGAGATATTTGATGTAAGTGAATGGTGGCCTCATCCCCTTTCAATTAGATCACAATACATGCTAAGCAAGTTTTTCTGTTTCTGATCACATTCAGCACCAGTCATGGATGCTTGAACTGTTCCTTTCCATCAAAGAACTAAAAATGTGTTTTGCCTACAAACATAATAAGCTTGCATAATTCACAGTAACCTTCCATCTTTAAAAACTAAGCCACTTATGAAAATCAGAAAAGGATTTAAAGATCATGTTGGAGAATTTATTCATAGGCTGAAACACAGCTGATTTTTCTCTTTCAGATTTTTTTTAGACTCTGTTTCTAGAGCCAGTCTGGATTCACAGGGAAATCATGTGAACATTCATAATGGGGTTTTAGTGTTCTCTGTGAAATTGAGAGATCTCACTTTAAAACTTCCTCTGGAAGCTGCATCATCCATAGGACATATGCTCGCTCTAGTCATGAAAAATGAGGTCTGTAATGGATGTTTTAGTGGTATTGCACCAATAATGGGGACTAGGCTTCAAAATTTGACATTTCACTATCAAATATACAGAAGCACTTACAAAGCCTGGCTGTATCATTTATCTGTCAGGCATGGAGAACTAATAGAAGACTAGTTACTAGGAAAGGAAACCTCTTTCCCACACATCAAATTACCACCAGGTAACATTTCCATCCTAACTTCAGAGCTGACATTGTCTTTTAAATCACTCATCTAGGCTTTCTGTTTGTTGTTTAGAGAAGTAAACTTAGCCCTTCACTGAAGTTGGGGAGTGCTTTTTAAAAGTACAGTGAATTTATGCACGTTAGGTGTAAAACACGTCCGGTATCACACAGCCTGCTGTGTGACAAAAGGTTGCTCAGCAGAGACAGGGTGCTCCACAGGGAGAGTGAAATTTCTCTTGAAATCATTCTAATTTAATAAATGCTTTTTTTAGCTAGTAAGTCTGAAAGTGAAACTGAATATCTCGGGACCAGGAGGCACAGTTGCTATGCTTAGACATTCTCTCCTCATCCATCTTCCTTTCATCACCACTTTGTTTGAGGTGGTGCTGTCCAGAGAACAAACGCAAACTGATTCTCTTCTTAGAACAGGCCTGCCTGTATGCTATTCCCTTTTTCTACATCCTCTGAGTAGTTCTGCAGGCTAGATGTGCCAACAGCCAGATTACTATTACGGGAAGTGCAAAATACCCTGGACTTACCAAGAACCAACAGCTGGGAGCTTTCAGTTACCTCTCCACGATGATTGGCTGCCTTGCAGGAGTACAACCCCTGATCTGACAGAGAAACATTTGCAATTTGCAGCAACCCATCGTGCATATGGTGAGCAGCGGACAGCTTGACCTTGTTCTTAAACCAAGTAACTTCTGCTTCAGGAACACCTGGAAAAATATTGACAAACCATCACACAAGTAAGATATAGTGGTTACTAAACAGTGTGATGGTTGCTACAAACAAAATTAAGATAGAACAATTTAAACAAGATTTTAATATGACTTCCAAGTGGCATCTTCTGCAGTTCCAAAGTGTTTGGTCAGCTCTTTCAGATTGCCTGTCTTTATGTTTCTTAGATGATGGAGCAGAAGAGTCAAAACTGAGTTGAAGTCTCCCCTTTTAGTGTCCCAGAACTATACAAGTGAACTCTGAACTCATCACTCTTAAAAGCAAGCCTCTATTGTATCAGAACGAAGGTTAATCTAGCCTAGTATCTTGCCTCTGGAAGAAGCTATAAGCTGGTGCCTCTCCCAGCTTCCCACCAGTTTCAGCTCAGGAACTTTCTGGGCAAGAAGTAGTTTCTGAGCAGTTAGGAGTGCTCCATGGACATATCTTCTATTAATTAATCTAATCTTCCTTTTTGAAAGTATGCAAAAAATTGACAGTTACATCATCAGAAAAACTGTTTCACTGGTCTCACCAGGAGTGTTCAGACAATAGATTGTTACAGATTCATAACTCACTACAGGAAGAATTGCCTCCTTTTGTGTGCTTGGATCTAAGGTCCAGCTATTTCTGCTGGGTACCCTCTTGTAGGAAAGGGTGCTGACGCGTAGCTGTCAGGACCTCTGGTCTTGCAGTAGATAGCATTTCCTTGGCATAGGGATATCTACCTCAATTTAAATGCATACCAGATCAGGTAATTTAGTGTCACTGACTACTAAACAATTGGTTTATGTGAAATGGTTTTGGAAGTCTCAATAGATGGGACCTGTACCTGGGAGGAAATTATACTGTGTGGACCCACAGCTGTGAGGAGTAGCACATCACTAATCCTGGTAACTGCTGGAGTGCATGCTCTCCTATTTGTGGTCCCCTTCCCCATTTGTATGTGGGAGGCAGTTAATCTCTTTCACATGAACATGCAGTTTCCTTGAGCCTACTGTAGATTAAGGGCATGCATACAGGCTGCCCACCTAAATCCTTCCCTGCCTTACGCCACAGCAACATGTTCCTCTGCCCATTGCGAGTACCTTTCTGGTTGGGCCTCCATGTGAAAAACTACAACTCACTCTATTTGTCAATTCTGATGCCCTGGCATCAGAAATCCCTCACTCAGGCTGTGCTCACTGAGTACAACCACCTACTGGTCATTATTCACAATGACCACCTGATTGCAGGTGCCTCACTAAACATGTGCAGATGGAAGTGGGAAAGGGAGATTTTCCCTATTCTCCCACATCAGAGCATTGTGGCCTTTTTTCCACCTCTCCCAGAGTCACCTGGTAACTTTGCCAAGACATCTGGAATGAGTATGTCTGAGCTTGGCAGCCAGGAAGGAAAGCTGAAGCGCTGTAAGGGCTGAGGTCCTCATCCACATTCAGAAAGTAGCAGGAAGTGGGCTGTGAAAGACTACAGGGTTTTTCTCACCTTTGTCTGAGGGTAAATAGCATATGTTAATCTGGACCCTTCATGCCATACCTGGAGAACTAATCATTCTTGCCTATGGTGCTGTTTTCCAAAGGCTTACTCTTGTTTGTGTTGCTACAACTCAGCTTTTTTAAAAGGATGGGCTGTCGGCCTGTTTCTGACCCCCTGCACTGGGTTAGGACCACTACATAGCTCTCCATCTGGCTGTTACTCTTTGACCTATGTGGCGTGGGTGGGCTGACCACCACTTAAAACCTCACTCTGATTTTTTCCAGAGCATCCAGGCAGAGTCCTCAGGGAAGTTCAGACAACCGCTGGATAGCAAACAACTCCAAACCTTGAATTTATTCAAACCTACATGTTCACTATGTTTCCATTTTGGGGGAAAGGAATTTTGAGAGAACTCTGGAGAGCAAAGGAGACAAAAGGGAGACTCTTCCGGTTCTGCAGTCACTGAGATGGAAAAACCCTCCAGCACTTGTCCTCCCAATGTCACCCTAGTGAAGGGATGACCCAGTCTCTTTTGCAATCTAACCTACTTACAGTGCACAGGTTTTCACATTATGGCTCTTGCCAAACTTAAACATAGAAGTATCAAGAAATGTACCTCAGAAATAAAAAATCACAAGAGCATAAAATTATAAAGCTTTCTCCAGTTCCAGCCAGGGCTCATCTTCTTTCTTTGTTTTGAAGACTTAAAATTAGGTAGAGCTTTCAAGCTTTTCTTGAAAATAAAGGAAGATAGGTGGGAGAAGAGGAAGGGCTGAGGAGTGTTGAGAAGGGTAAAGAGGAGGGAAAGTGACAAGGATTTAATATGAAATATGAAATAAATAAATACATTCTAATAAAATAAATAAGTAAATTCAGAGAGACAAACAAAACTGATTTGCTTCTTGCAGACAGCTGCTCAGATAGTCGTAGTCCAGAAAGGCAGATTTCTCTTCTATACACTTCACCAGGGGAAGAACCAACAACAGGTTAAAGGTAAGACTCCTTACTGTTGAGGTATTACTGTTGAGTAGAGGAAAGGTGCACTGTACCTACAAAAAGTCCAGCACCTCTACAAAAAACTTCTCGCTGCTACTCTATGAAGTGTGTTCTTCCTCTGTCTTTAATGAAAAGTTTCCACACTAACAGGAGACTATTTGAAACTAACCTGCACAGCTGCTCCTACAGTTTGGTGCAGGGAAAATAAGCAGTATATGTCAGTGAGTAGCAGCTTAATTTTTTTTTGTACTTCCACCTTTGGTGACACATCTAAGCCCCAAGGCAGAAGTAGGAGGCAGCCAGCACTGGGGCGAGCAAACACATTATTGCGCTGCGTTGCCACACGGGGTAGCAAGAGCATTTCAATCGGTTTTGTTGGGTATCAGTGAATCAGAAGACAGAGGGCTGACTGCCTTGCAGAAACAAGTGCAGAGACTGAAAGTCTGAGAGGTGCCAGCTGGAAGCAAAACTCACTTTGCTGGGCAGGCAAGACTTTAGGTGGTGAATAGTTACCCAAGTTTATTGTTCTTCAGCTCGCCCCTACATCACTGTGCATGTATCCAGCACAAAAAGGCTACCTGGGATATGTAGCAAGCAGAACTGTGCATGCCAATCAAGATAATTTTGCTAAACCAGGAGCTTTTGGGGAAAGGAAGCATAGCAATACAAGGATCTAGCAGTGGTGACTCGCTTCCAATGCCACAATACTATTGAAATAGTGACTTGCACGTCAGAATCTGGCATAGCCGATGAATAAATATGGGTCATAAAGCAAGGTGAGAACTATAACCTCCAACATATAGATTAAATAGAGAGGAAAGGAATTTTTAGGTGAGTTGAAAAAGCTGCAAGATGAAATATCAGAGAGAGAAGGATATGCAGGGCAGGGTGGTAATATATTTTAAGTCACTCTTCCAAACCTGTCTGACTCAACAGTAACTAATGGTACATGACGTTTTGCAGGCAGGTGCCTCTGTTAGAAGTCTTATGGCCTGAAGGATACCATGGAGAAATGTCCTAAGAAATAGATCTAAAAAACTGCTTTCTCCTTTCATGTCCAACTGTATTTTCAAAAACAGCCTGGGCCAGATTGACTGAGGCTACTGAATGAAATCTGCACAATTTAAGTGCTGAAGTCAACAGAAATCTTCCTAGTGATACTGATGTGATCCAAATTGCTCCCACATCCCATTTGGAAGTGAAATTGCCCACAGATATCAAATTGCCCACACCAGAAATGCTGCTGGCTTTTTGAAGCTTGGAGAAAATCTGCCGGTCACAAGCATCTGCAAGACTCCTGACTGACTTTTGGGCAGGATTAGTTTTGGAGAAGTCTGGGATCGACCACAATCACCTAACTATGTTTAAAAAATATTCTTTCAGCTCTATAGACAAAGTGTGAATTTATGTCAAGTGAAATAAGGCTGATTTTCAAGCTTGAACAAAACCACACCACCATCTTTGGTATAACCAAAATAGAGTTTCATCCTGACATAATTCATATCAGGAGCCAATTAAACTGATGATTTTGTTTTCCCTTGTCTTACGTCTAATATCTATAGATTTCAGCTCAGAACACAGATTTTGACAGTGCTTATGCCTTTCATAAGAGCAATATAAAATAACTCCCTGGGCTCTGGTAATGTTCTCTTTCATTACCTCTTGCTTTTAGCAAACTTTCTCCAGGCTTATCAACACCTGTCAGCAGCAAGTGTATATTTCTGTCCCTTGACAGCAAGAGCAGCTTTAGAAAATGTCATTAGCTGTTCCTCTTACTTAATAGTTGTCTTATAAATGCTTATTCTGCTGTCCTGCTGACTCTCAATAGAGACATGTCCTTATATGAGCCAAGACATCGAGATCCCATACATGCATGGCCCTACACTACAAACTATACAGCACAGTGATAGCAACACAGCTTACAATGATGAGATTACCAGCCACCAAATTCTGAGCTGGAACAAATTTCAGTTGCTGTGCTGGCTCAGGGTGTCCTGAAATGACTAGAGGGAAAGTACTAGGACAAAAAAGACTTTAGTTTTACAAAGCGTTGTGAAGAGTTTTTTCATCTGGATAAGTCTCCACATGATTTCTGGGTATATTAGTTTGCTTTCTAATTATGGTCACTTAATTCTCACACTCCAATTTCTTTTTTATTATAAGATGTTATTGCATTAACCATTGCACATTAACTTACTATGATTTGATGGCCATTTCATTGTGAATGCCTTCTGAGGAACTTTGGCAAACTACATAGCTGTAAAGTTCATCTACTCTGAAGAAGTCACTAGGATACAACACGTTTGCTGACTTGATGCAATAGGGATTGTTACTCTTCTCCTTAAAATTGATCGTTCTCAGTAGAATGATCAAAAATATATTAAAAGGCTGGATAATCACAACCCTGATGCTAAAAAAAAAAAAAAAAAA